CTGGTAGATGGAACAAGTGCTGATCTTAGTAGTCATCGCCCGGGGAAAATTTTGATAGTGGCCATTTTGAATTATTTAATTTTCCCGGGCAATGACTACTAAGACCAGGATTCCTCACGGGCATCAAACCTTGTGACATTATGCGTAAGGCCTATTGTATATAATCCGCTCCAGATTTCCATCTACAAAAATTCTGCAAAATAATTCATAACACATTGACATATAGGGCGACCTGATATTAAATTTGGCGACCAGATCTTATTCACTTATATGACAGCCACTTAGGCCACTAAGTGTTTTTAAAATGTCAACCGCAGTAATACAACGCCAAAAATGGAATTCAGTGCGAAAAAAAAAATACGTGGCAAGCACCCAAATGAAAGGCATTTTGATTTCACAATTGTAAACTTGTATCAATTAGAGAGTAAATCACTTATTTCGCATATGTTTCATAGATCGTAAAAACACTAGATGGAAGCTTATGATCACGCATGATGCGCCACTCAACCAGGGTAAGCGCCCTGCACTCAACCTTGTTGAAAATTATGACGTGACTAATTTCAAAATAGTTCCACGTTCAGCAATATATAATACAGCTGAGTACTATTTTAGTCAAAAACATAAGAATACAACCGTGCATACAACCATTGATCAATTTCGGGAAACATATCAAACATATTATCAGGGCCGTTCCTAGCGCGATAATTGGGGAAGGGGGTATATTTATTTATTCGTGTTCTGCCCGACGGATTTCTTTTGAAAGCGATTGTTTTTACGGTATGTGAACATGAATGCGGCATGAATATGCACCCTCCTCAATTGTCGCATCTAGGAACGGCCCTGCATATTATAGAGGTGAAAAACGCTTCACAACTTTCAATTATATCAAAAGTAGCACCTGTGACGCCATGCAATTTCTTGATTACGAAAGTAAAAACAAACTAAAACGAAGACGAAGAAGTTTTACCGCGAATACTTTGCCGAGTCACAACGTAAGGCCAAAAAAAAATATGTGGGTTTCCGGTTTCCCGACCCTACCTAGCTTTTGGACGTCGAAATCCCGACCCTAAACTTTTTTATTGGATCATGCTTGTAAGTGTTTCCACTTAGAGGAAAAAGTTTGTGGAAAATTGAAATTTGAGGCAATATTAGGGAAATTTATCTTTGGATGTGGAAGCAATAACTAAAGAAAATGGCGTTCGCTTGTTCGGAAAATAAAAAAAAAAGTTAAAACCGACCTACCCTATCTAAGTTTTTATAAGAAGAAACCGGAAACCCACATATTTTTTTTTGGCCTAATGAAACCATTTTGAATATCAATACGAAAAATATAGGAAAATGGAAGGAAAACTTTACTATAAGTCTATATTCGTTGTATTCATGGCATAGCGAATTTCACATCGGTCAATCGTCTTTGGACTGAAAAATTCACTCGTGCATGTCATTTTTAAATTGCACTCGAAACCATATTATTACCTATATATACCTGTACGAAAATGTCACTACAACTCAATATTCAGTGCCAGGATGTCTGTTCTGTACTTCACATATATAATTATAATCAATAACAATTAATTATAAATACTAATATAATCCCAAAATAGTTCAGCAGTTTATTTTGGTCAAGGAGTTTTCAGATATTAATCGTGCTAATGATCTCCGCGAAATTGTCGATCGATGCTAAGTTCTTTGTTATTGAGTAAATATATAAATAAGCAAGCTGTTATTGTGTTCCCTTCATCTTTAAAGACAAGCTGCTATTAATTTCAGATATAATTTTTGGTATGGGTAAAATTTTAAGAAGAAAGGTAATCTCTATCTTTGAATAACTTCATCCGTATTGATATGGCATATCATTCAGATGTATTTCAAGTTGATTCGTTTGTCTCTATAGCTTTAGCCGCTAAAATGCATCAAATGATATCATATATCCGGCAACTTCTATATACATGGTGAAGAATTATATAAGAAGTAACACAAGGGTCTTCCCAATAACAAGTAGGCCTATTTACATTGCAATTTTGCTGCGATTTCTAGAGAGATTTTCTCCTTTTGACGCATGTGAAAGAGTATATAGATGAGTTATGAATATTTTGAGTATATGTACAATATACCCGCATGCGAACATTCATAACTCGTCCACTCGTTCACATTCATTAAAAGACAAAAATCGTACCTCAAATGTAAACCGGTCTTGCAAATATTGTCATTATTCAATCTTTAAATTTATCACACATACTTGATTGTTGAATATTCGCTGAACTGACAAAGACTGGTTCTATCTCTTCTTTTGCCAGATAATCACTCAGTTTGTGACTCTTAACAATTCTGTCATCGAATATGATTCCTAAAACAAAAAGTTTAATGAAGCGCCTATATGTCGAAAGGCATGTGCTTCAATGATCTTCCTATCTATTTTGCCATGATTTTTTCATTCAAGGCTATACTTAGTTGTTTATCCAACAAAGCCTGATAAACTATAAATGGGTTTCACTAACAAAAAACACTAGCAAAAGATACATATATTTAAAATGATTCGTCGTTTCCATGCACAGCAGCCTGTTTTATCCAAGACAAGAGGAATCATCAGGTGGCTGATGATTCCCTTTGGATGAAACAGGCTAGCTGTTGTGGCAACCAAAGACTATTTCTGCTCTATCTATATATTTGATATCGAGCTGACTCTTTGTCATTTTGTGAACCAAACCACATTCGTTTAAAATGATTCCGTATTGATATACAGCTGTGTCCTACAATTCACAAACTAATAATATTACTGTATCAACTACAAAACACGTTACAACTGAAACAGGCAGGCAAACTTAGCATCTTTATACAATTGCATGCCTTTATGGCAGTGTTACTTAAAACAGTTAATTAACTTACAAATTCAAAGCCGGAGGTTTTGAGAGTATCAGTGGTTGCATATTACTTTAAACAATCATGCAATTCTCTTGAATTTCGCAAAACTTTTGATTGGTTCTTCATTATCAATACAAATAATGTAATTTCAATTGTACATATACATTGATATATTTGTACCGAAAATGTCGATCGCCGTGCTGCAGTATTTGCTCGCAACGACGAAAACATAACAAATGCAATCGTATAATCAAGATTGGTAAAAATTTATGGATCATTATTTACAGAAAAGCGTTTCACTCACCGATTTTCACTTTTCCTTCTGCGCCAAGAATGATGATGAGAAGGATTGTTAACCCTTTTGTCAATCCCATGTTCACGTTGTCTTTTTTCTTCAAATTGGCAAGTTTTCTTGTGACAACTAGATTGTATTATTTGTATGTCGTGTGCGCCGCCTGTGATTAATTTTTGATCGTCCTTGGGTTGTGGTCTGGTTTTGGCGATCCCGAACACCTTGCAACTTGACGACTTGGTTTTGTGACATCATTGGGTAGATAACGGAATTAATGGCATTTGGTGTTTTCGACGATTCTATATGATTCTAGAAGTGGCTTGAATATTTCATATCCAAAAACTGGACCGTTATATCTCAGTGAAGTGTGCCTTAACATGCAATGACTGAGGGATATTTTTTATTTTTCACGCATATTTCAAATAAGAATCTGACATCATATACTACAATATAAAAACTGGAAATTTTAATTGTCGATTTTATTATGATCAATTATTGACGACAATATCTTGGAAGAATAGTCGATGTTATCGACTTAATCAATCAAAACGCATTGATTAAACTCATTGATCGTGAGTCGAGTATATGCGTCACCAGATAATTATGCACGTTCCAACAATCACTTCAAACAACGGATGTGTCATATCAAAGGTCGCTTTAAAATTCAATATCAAAGTCTCGTGCAATACCAATGAGGTCATTTGCCACAATAGTGTTAAATTCACAGTACCCTTTTAATAAGCATGGCTGTGATTTTATCTTTCAAACAAAACTGACAAATAAAATAGTCGGTGTAATTCGCTTTTTTCCCCATACAGGAGAGGCAAAATAAAATTCACTCCTTGTACGAACGTCAAAGAAATGGAATTTAAAATTTAAGCCGAAGTTATAGAAGTATATGCTTTAAAGTACTTATTATATTATTAAGTTTTTTTTTAAGCTCGGGGTTTTTAACCAGCACTTCGGGTTCGTACAAAACTTGAAAATCCTTGAATTTGAAAACAAAAATTCAAGGCCTTGAATATCCTTGAATTTGTAAAGAAGTATTTGAAGGTCCTTAAATTTTTCTTGTTTTAGTTTTTGGATATTTCATTCTGAAATGGTTTGACATTCAAAACGGACATTTTGTTGAATTGATTTGCATGTTCATGTTGTTGTATCTCCTTTTCTTCATTATTTAGTCCTTGAATTTGCTGACACTTGGCCTTGAATGTCCTTTAAAAGTCCTTTGAATTTGACTCCTCCTCGCCATGTACGAACCCTGGTTTAACATGAATAAACATTTATTCGGTATTATTATTGTATTGTATTATTGTGTGCAACTGTTCTGGTGCAACGATATAGATAATAAGTTAGTTAAGTTCCTTGTACAATTGTATTTGTTAGCATGTGAACCCAATATACTGAATAGATTTTTCTTTGCTTTCCTATTTGTACCAATTTCTTTCTTTTTCCACCATCCCCCCGCCCGAGCCATGACATTTCTAATGGCCCGCCCCTAATTGCGTGTGGCACCCAGTCAACGTAAACAGCAAATAGTCCATCCCCACGCAAGTCATATGACTATGATAAAGCTATTCTCTGTATGACACTCACATATTTTGCATAACTCTGCTGTGACTCCACATGTATAAATTACGGTATTCTGTGACTTATACTTGCGCATGTAATCTGTAATAATATATAATAATTAATGTAATAATAATGTAATCATTCTATTACTGTGACTTAGTTTATTTATACTTAGTTGCGAATATAATTACGATACACTGTGACTCTAGAGTATATAGCCGGTAGTCCGCCCACGCGCTGTTTTTACTATTACGCACAGTTTGTGGTTTCGTGGTACTAATTTGCATATCACTGATGCAACACTTACTACGCAATACTATAAACTGTGAACACAATAACAAAGGCTTCTTATAGTTAAACCTATACTATCTGTACGTAATTCCTCAAACAAGAGAGCCCAAAATATTCGATGGATCTGGATAAGGGGCGAGCGACGTTCGATAGTGTCGACAAATTCTCATTTAATGGCATCGAACAAGATGTGAAAGTTGTAAGAGTCGTCGACGGTGACACTGTTTACATTGTGGCCGATTACAACGGACGACTCGTCAAACTCAAATGCCGTCTCAAAGGTATTGATTGCGCCGAATTAAAGCAGGGTTCGCTCGATACGAAGGGCAGAGATGGCTTTTGCGGTCGGGATTTTCTCGCTCATCTTTGTATGGGTTCAAACGCGAAAGATTTTGACGAGAATCGTAAGCGGGAAGACAAGAAGGAACTAGAAAGGAAGTTGAACGGCAGCCAAAGTTTAGTTCACGCCCAACTTGGTGATTTCGATTGCTTCGGTCGAGTTTTGGTCACTTTGAAGAAGGAGAAAAGTTCACGGAAAAGTTTCAGTCAAATTCTGAAGGAATACGGATACGCCAAAGACACAAGAGAGAAAACACGAGCCATGCGGCAATAGTTCGAGAACTAATGAGTCACGAGAAATGTACAGTACAGTTTTCCAGGAAATTCAATGTTTGTTACATTTTAAAATAAAGCTAGGATAAAACGAGAATCGGAGAGTTGATATGAGAGTTGGCAGTCACAAATTGTTACAGGGGACATTTCAAACTCTAGATTAACAAAATAAAGGTTTGATGAATGTTTCAACAATGTTTTAACTTGAATAGACTACGTGGCCGTGACCAAAATGGCGTGACTGCCAACTCTCGTGCACTCTCATCCTCGTTTGATCTGGCTGTATTTAATATTATTTATTACACGTGTTATGTACTACTAATGTATAAGGAACTGGTAGGAACTAGCATCGTAATCCAAACTCCTTAAACAGAAACGTTTTCGGTTTTAAACAATTCTTTGTATCTAATCTTTGTGTCATTAAACAATAGATGTATATAAATTTTGCCACTATATATAAGACTGTGAAATGATATGCCAGAAACCTTGATATATCGCGGTAATCGTGAAACGATTCGTAGAAAGTTCGACATTCATTAAAATGAATATAGTAAAATCGCACGTCTATAAGAACCCGCGGCTATTTTCCAGATCAATGTGAATACCTTCTGACATATTTGATCAGAACTATTAAGTTGTATGCCTTACAGTAATACTATTAGAGAGTTTGAGCAAAACAACGAAGTTGAACGACGACGAAGTGGTTGACAATTTTTGCCTGTCTTGCACATTACCTTGCGCATTCTGAGTTTAGGGTCAGGAGTGAAGACAGATTAGAGATTCGTGTCTAGCTGTTTGTGAATGCTGACCCAAATCCTTACCCTGATCAGGATAAAACAGCGAGACATGAATCCATTTCCTGTCTTCGTCTTCTGCCTTCGTTCACAACGAATATTTTGGCAAAATTCGTTGTGAACTTCGTTCTGCACGAAGCCAGAAGGACAAAGACGGGATATAGTTTCATGTCTCGCTGTTTTTTTCTGGATTAGGGCAAGAATTATGGTCAGTATTCATAAACAGCGACACATTGGAAGACACGTTGTGCAACCACCAGTGACGTCCAACTCAGTATGCGCAAGATAATCTACAGACGGCAAAAATTATCAAGTATGCCTTCGTCTTCGTACTTCGTTGTCTTGCTCAAACTCTCTATTATAAGGAAGTAGCGTACAACGTTATTTCAGCCACAAAAGTTTTCATAATTCTTTAATTTAACAGTCGGTGCCAGTGTATAGGTAGCGACGCTAACAAGACAGCGGCTACAGATTGAGATGGATACAACTACCTGAAAAATCTAAGCAGGACTTGTCTTCGACGTCTCGAGCGAACTGCCCTTTGTCGAAGTTCCGCTTGACCACTTACATTGTTCAGGCTTCAGTTAGTTGTATCTTTGTCAATCATGCAACAGCTGTCTTCATATTTTTAGTACGTGTGGAGATGTCGAACAATCTTGAACAGTTGTTTGTTTTCAACATAGAATAAGTGTATAGGCCTAGTAGTTTCAGCTGTACTTTAAATATAAACCCTCCAAGTCCTATACAAATTTTCAAACATCCGTGTCTGCAAGTCTGTGCGTATTTCGTAGTTGGTTCCAGAATATATTTGAAAAACTTTGCCAAGATTGAAAGGTACGTGATTCTTCGCATAGCTTTTCCGAGAAACAAGACCCAGTTTTCAATTTTGAAATTTATTTTACTTAAATATAACATAAAAAGCTTAAGATTAGTCGCTAAAGATTAGCCGATTCCATGCATTAATCGATGGTCGATCAAGACAATTATCGATTCAAGCTATAGATAGTTTACATACACTAGATAGTGCATCTAATTATTCTGCCATTCAAAAATTGAAGCCGTGGTTGCAGACTCAGGATATTCCCATGAAATGAGAAGACGCGTATGTTTTCTATTTCTTAAACAGGGAATTTTAACTTAAACATTAAGTTAAACCTATTTCAAATACATTTTTAATTAAACTATTCAAATGATGAAAGTTATTGTTGTTAATTTTTTAAGCGTTTATTAGCGAGTGGGAAACTCCAACATGGCCGCCATCTATTCAAATGGGGGTAACCGCTGGAATATTCTTGGCTTCAATTTTACTAAAAGAGATGCGCTATCTAGTTTATATAAGATATCTATATGATTCAAGCTGATAAATTTTGCACACGTAATTGTTCAATATTTAGTATTGTAAAAATATCGAAATATATATCAGTGAACAATATGTATCGAGTAGGCAATGTTTTTAGTAATTGTCATCTTCAACAAAGCTATCTGAATGGTATCGTTAGTTGTTCATCTTGTCTTTAGAGTCATCATCACATTGTATGGTCCACGTGCCTCTTTCTCTAAGCTGAAATACATATATGAATATATTTAACAATGTGAATAGTGCAAGGATAGTTGCTTAGGAACTAGTTTTAAAGGGAAATGGCAATACAATATTTTATTTTCTCATTTGAAAGAACTTTTGAAACTATATATCAGTAACTTCTTTTACCGATTTTTCATATCTTGCTTAGTTCTTGGAATATTTTCACTTGAAGTAATAAGATGTCCGCCATCTTGGATAATTTTTTTATCTCAGTTAACGGTAGTTTTCGTGACGTCACAACAGGTCGTCACAACATAGTAGTAGTATACTGAACATAATAAACGGAAACCCAACACGGCACCCCGCTGACTCGAAGTGACTCCCTTGGGAATCCTACTGTATGTAGTATCTAATGTATGAATATCACAGAGGTAGAATTCCTTTATTATCTTACTGTACCAAACATATTCACGGACAATTTAAAACTTATTTAAAACCGGAGTTTTTGTTTTCAAACAAATAGCAAAAAGTATCCCGACATTGAAATCCATTTTGTTTTGTATCCTATAGATTTCTCAATTTGTACGATACTGTTTCTTTTGATATGTCATGTTTTCATTGTTCTGTATATGGCGTTTTGACAGCTTGGTATTGTGTTTTCGAAACTTGTAAAGTGTAAAGTGAAAAGTGTATTAAAACTGTATTTGGAACGATATCAGTAGTTTCACATTTCATTTTACCAAATTTCTCAGCAATTTCCTGAAAAAATTAATGCTAAACAGAAACTATTTTTTAATTCTAAGTCTGGTGAAAAAGTCATTCCGTTGTTGTGTTTATATTCTAAGCAGAAATCGAGAAAAACAACTTTGTAATAAAGCAATATATAAAGTTATACAAGAATCCATTTTGAAAGCGTGTGCGTACAAGAAACACTGCAAGTGAGAATTACATATGTAATATATAATATAATATATAAATATGTAATTGTCACTTAGTTGAACATAACTTTAATATTATGTACAAAAAACACATGTGCACACTGTGTTCATGAAATGCATGTTGTGCCTTTTAATTAAGAAGATGTACGAAAGGGGTTGTCTATAATCCTGCAGATCTATATGGCTGCAGTTCTATATCATACATGATTTCGCCTGGGGGGTGGGGGGTTAACCCGCCCCCTAGAATCTCTCTAACCCCTCTTATAAAATGTTCAACCCCACAAAAATTTCGCTTCACCCCTCCCATTTTATGTGAAAGTCTTTAACCCTAACGCCTAACCCCTGCCGAAGCTCGCTTTGTAACACATGCATGTATTGCTATAGTATTAGGAGTGTTAGGTGATTTGTTTATTTCAATAGAAATAAAATTTGTTGTCGTCAGACTCTTCTTTTTATAATCAGTTTAACAATAATATGAATATGTAAATAATGGCATATTAACCAAAACAATGCCCAAAAACACTTGCCAAAAAATACCTGCCCAAAAACACTTGCACAAAAACATTCATACAAACCATATATATAATATACTGGCATCTTTACTAAAACGAAACCAAAAGGCAAAAACCAAACAAACAAAAAACAGTGTCCATGTTTTTGGAACTGCATATGACATGCTATATCTGCCCAACCGAAAATTGCTCCGATTGGTGTTTACATTACAATGAGAAATTGAGAGGATAACAACATTTCATGATGGTTACTGGGTTAAGTTCCTGGTGCACTGTGCAACTTGCCTTTGGTTAAAAAAGTTTTAAAAACCAGTTTTAAAGAAATGAAGAAATTGTATACTGTATTCAGATTATATGATTTCGTATCCATTAACCGTGTGCGGAAGTTAAGGGGTTAGCCTTTACCTTTTTGTCATTTTTTACCCGTTTCCAAAGATATAAAAGAGATTAGACTTTAATTTTTGGTCATCTGTTGCCACTTTTTCAAAGATAAAAATTGACGATAAATTAAGGGTTTAGCCTTAACCTCGGCTGGACAGTTACTGGGTTAAATTCCTGGTGCAAGGACCTTTCGGTCTTTGTCAGGGGTACTAAGTTAATTATAGGGTAGAGAAAAAGGATTAGCTATGATAGAAAACGTTAAGCTTTCACCATCAGACTTAGTAGTTTAGTGGTAAAGACTACATGCTATTAATTTGATGTACCACTGTGGTTCTTAATCCTGCCCAAATCATTTTGTGATTTGAAAATGGTTGAATAAGGTGAATAAGTTGCAATAGGCTTCCAACAACGAGCAAGTGGTCTAGTGGGAACAACTACTGTCTGTGTAATGTACCATTGTGGTTCAAGTCTTACAGAAGTCATTTTGTGACTTGAAAAGTTGAAATGTGTCGAATATTAATTACACAAGCTAGACAAAAAATGTTAAGATGAATAAGTTGCGCGAGGCTTCCAACAACGAGTAAGTGGTCTAGTGGTAAAGACAACAGGTTCGTGTCATCTACCAGCTGTGGCTCAAGTCCTACAGAAGCCATTTTGTGATTCAAAAATTGTTCAATTTTTATTATTTGGTTCAAGTCCTACAGAAGTCATTTTGTGACTTGAAAAGTGAAATATGTCGAATATTAATTACATAAGCTAGAGAAAAAAATGTTAAGATGAATAAGTTGCGCTAGGCTTCCAACAACGAGTAAGTGGTCTAGTGGTAAAGACAACAGGATCGTGTCATCTACCAGCTGTGGTTCAAGTCCTAAAGATGCCATTTTGTGATTCAAAAATGGTTAAATTTTAATATTACAAAGCTAGAGAAAAAATAAGGGGAATAAGTTGCGCTAAGCTTCCAACAACGAGCAAGTGGTCTAGTGGTAAAGACAACAGGCTTTGTAATGTACGATTGTGGTTCAAGTGCTAACGAAGTCATTTTGTGACTAATTATACAGTGTAAATAAAAAGGTTAGGGTGAATAAGTTTGTTGCTGGGTTTTAACTACGACCTTGTAGTCTAGTGATAAAGACAACAGGCTAGCTGTGTCATATACCATCTGTGGTTCAAGTCCTACAGAGGCAGTTTTGTGATTTAAAAATGGCTAAATTTTAATGATACAAGCTAGAAAAAAAAATAAGGTGAATAAGTTGCACAAAGCTTTCAACAACGAGTATGTGGTCTAGTGGTAAAGACAACAGGCTTGTGTCATGTACCACCAGCTGTGGTTCTAGTCCTACTGAAGCCATTTTGTGACTTGAAATCTCTCGTATATTAATTACACAAGCTAGAGAAAAGGGTTAAGGTTAATAAGATGTGGTAGGCTTCCAACAACGAGCAAGTGGTCTAATGGTAGCGATATCGGACTTTAAAAACCAATGTCGTGTATCAGGATCGGTTCGAGGACGAGTGAAAGAATAATCAAGAAAAAAGATAGCGGAAGAAAAATACAAAAGAAAATGGCGGCCGGGAAAATGTTTGAAGAAGATACCACCAATGAAATTAATCTTTAGTGGTTACCATGGTTAGCGCATGCGTGGTAGACTTAGAATATGACAGTGTGCGAGTGGAAAGGCGGGGAGGAAGAAGGGGGAGGCCCCCGGGGGATTGCGGCAACGCTGCGGTTGTATTTCTTAAGTTAATATTATGCGTTTTTGAATCTTATGTTCTATTGAATTCCAAGGCCCCTTGTGGCAAAAACTAGAATTTGGCACGGTCTGAAAATTGTAATTGTCGAATCTACGTTCAATAGGCTTTCTGTCGTTGCCTCATTCTTGCATAAATAGACAATCCGTGGACAAAAAAGCCAGTTTTTCCACCTGTGTAAGCGAAAAAGACGTGAAAGTTAATATTATGCGTTTTCGAACCTTATGTTCTATTGAATTTCAATGCTCCTGTAGCACAGAGTAGAATTTGGGCTAGTCTCAAAATTTTATTTTTTGAATTTATGATCAATAGGCTTTCCCTCGATGCCTTACTCGTGTATCACTAGATTTGTCCGTGGAAGTAAAAAGCAGGTTTTTCCAGTTGTGTAATCGAAAAAAACGTGAAAGTTAATATTATGCGTTTTCGAATCTTATGTTCTATTGAACTCCAAGGCCCCTTGTGGCAAGAACTAGAATTTGGCACGGTCTGAAAGTTGTATTTTTCGAATCTACGTTCAATAGGCTTTCTGTCGATGCCTCATTCTTGCACAAATAGACAGTCCGTGAACATAAAAAGCAAGTTTTTGCAGCTGTATAAGCGAAAGCGACGTGAAAGTTAATATTATGCGTTTTCGAACCTTATGGTCTATTGAATTTCAAGGCTCCTGTAGCAGAGACTAGAATTTGGGCTAGTCCCAAAATTGTACTTCTGGAATCTAAGATCAATAGGCTTTCTCTCGATGCCTTACTCGTGTATCACTAGATTTGTCCGTGGAAGTGAAAGCAGGTTTTTCCAGTTGTGTAATCGAAAAAAACGTGAAAGTTAATATTATGCGTTTTCTAATCTTATGTTCTATTGAATTCCAAGGCCCCTTGTGGCAAAAACTAGAATTTGGCACGGTCTGAAAATTGTATTTTTGGAATCTACGTTCAATAGGCTTTCTGTCGATGCCTCATTCTTGCACAAATAGACAGTCCGTGAACATAAAAAGCAAGTTTTTGCAGCTGTATAAGCGAAAGCGACGTGAAAGTTAATATTATGCGTTTTCGAACCTTATGGTCTATTGAATTTCAAGGCTCCTGTAGCAGAGACTAGAATTTGGGCTAGTCCCAAAATTGTACTTCTGGAATCTAAGATCAATAGGCTTTCTCTCGATGCCTTACTCGTGTATCACTAGATTTGTCCGTGGAAGTGAAAGCAGGTTTTTCCAGTTGTGTAATCGAAAAAAACGTGAAAGTTAATATTATGCGTTTTCTAATCTTATGTTCTATTGAATTCCAAGGCCCCTTGTGGCAAAAACTAGAATTTGGCACGGTCTGAAAATTGTATTTTTGGAATCTACGTTCAATAGGCTTTCTGTCGATGCCTCATTCTTGCACAAATAGACAGTCCGTGAACATAAAAAGCAAGGTTTTGCAGCTGTATAAGCGAAAAAGACGTTAAAGTTAATATTATGCGGTTTCTAACCTAATGTCTATTGAATTTCAAGGCTCCTGTAGCCGAGAGTAGAATTTGGGCTAGTCTCAAAATTGTATTTTTGGAATCTATGATCAATAGACTTTCTCTCGATGTCTTACTCGTGTATCACTAGATTTGTCTGTGGAAGTAAAAAGCAGGTTCAGTCCAGCTGTGTAATCGAAAAAAACGTGAAAGTTAATATTATGCGTTTTCGAATCTTATGCTCTATTGAATTCCAAGGCCCCTCTTGTGGCAAAAACTAAAATTTGGCACGGTCTGAAAATTGTATTTTTGGAATCTACGTTCAATAGGCTTTCTCTCGATGCCTCATTCTTGCACAAATAGACAGTCCGTGAACATAAAAGCAAGTTTTTGCAGCTGTATAAGCGAAAAAGACGTGAAAGTTAATATTATGCGTTTTCTAACCTTATGGTCTATTGAATTTCAAGGCTCCGGTAGCCGATAGTAAAATTTGGGCTAGTCTCAAAATTGTATTTTTGGAATCTATGATCAATAGGCTTTCTGTTGATGCCTTACTGTTGTGCATTACTAGATTTGTCCGTGGAAGTAAAAAGCAGGTTCAGTCCAGCTGTGTAATCGAAAAAAACGTGAAAGTTAATATTATGCGTTTTCGAATCTTATGTTCTATTGAATTCCAAGGCCCCTTGTAGCAAAAACTAGAATTTGGCACGGTCTGAAAATTGTATTTTTGGAATCTACGTTGAATAAGCGTTCTGTCGATGCCTCATTCTTGCACAAATAGTCAGTCCGTGACCATAAAAAAAGCAAGTTGTTCCAGCTGTATAAGCGAAAAAGACGTGAAAGTTAATATTATGCGCTTTCGAATCTTATGTTCTATTGAATTACAAGGCCCCTTGTGGCAAAAACTAGAAATTGGCACGGTCTGAAAATTGTATTTTTGGTATCTACGTTCAATAGGCTTTCTGTCGATGCCTCATTCTTGCACAAATAGTCAGTCCGTGAACATAAAAAAAGCAAGTTTTTCCAGCTGTATAAGCGAAAAAGACGTGAAAGTTAATATTATGCGCTTTCGAATCTTATGTTCTATTGAATTCCAAGTCTCCTGTAGCAGAGACTTGAATTTGGGCTGGTATGAAAATTGTATTTTTGGAATCTATCACGAATAGGCTTTCTGCTGATGACTTACTCGTGCATCACTAAACTTGTCCGTGGAGGTAAACGGCAGGTTTTCCCAGCTGTGTAATCGAAAAAGAAACGTGAAAGTTAATATTATGCTGTTTCGAACCTTGTGTTCTATTGAATTTCAAGGCCCCTGTAGCAAAATCCTGAATTTGGCACACTCTGAAAATTCTATTTTTGGAATCTACGGTCAATAGGCTTTGTGTTGATGCCTCGTTCTTGCATAACTAGAGAGTCCGTGGACATAAGAAGCAAGTTTTTCCAGCTGCATGTGTAATCGAAAAAGACGTGAAAGTTAATATTATGCGCTTTCGAATCTTATGTTCTATTGAATTCCAAGGCTCCTGTAGCAGAGACTCGAATTGGGGCTGGTATGAAAATTGTATCTTTGGAATCCATCACCAATAGGCTTTCTGTCGATGACTTACTCGTGCATCACTAGACTTGTCCGTGGAGGTGAACGGCAGGTTTTCCCAGCTGTGTAATCGAGAAAAAAAACGTGAAAGTTAATATTATGCTGGTTCGAAGCTTGTGTTCTATTGAATTTCAAGGCCGCTGTAGCAAAATCCTGAATTTGGCACGCTCTGAAAATTGTAGTTTTGGAATCTATGCTCAATAGGCTTTCTGTTGATGCCTCGTTCTTGCATAACTAGAGAGTCCGTGGACATAAAAAGCAAGTTTTTCCAGCTGCCTGTGTAATGGAAAAAGACGTGAAAGTTAATATTATGCGCTTTCGAATCTTATGTTCTATGAATTCCAAGGCTTCTGTGGCAGAGACTTGAATTTGGGCTGGTATGAAAACTGTATTTTTGGAATCTATCACCAATAGGCTTTTTGTCGATGCCTTAGTCGTGCATCACTAGACTTGTCCATGGAGGTAAACGGCAGGTTTTTCCACCTGTGTAATCGAAAAAAACGTGAAAGTTAATATTATGCTGGTTCGAAGCTTGTGTTCTATTGAATTTCAAGGCCGCTGTAGCAAAATCCTGAATTTGGCACGCTCTGAAAATTGTAGTTTTGGAATCTATGCTCAATAGGCTTTCTGTTGATGCCTCGTTCTTGCATAACTAGAGAGTCCGTGGACATAAAAAGCAAGTTTTTCCAGCTGCCTGTGTAATGGAAAAAGACGTGAAAGTTAATATTATGCGCTTTCGAATCTTATGTTCTATGAATTCCAAGGCTTCTGTGGCAGAGACTTGAATTTGGGCTGGTATGAAAACTGTATTTTTGGAATCTATCACCAATAGGCTTTTTGTCGATGCCTTAGTCGTGCATCACTAGACTTGTCCATGGAGGTAAACGGCAGGTTTTTCCACCTGTGTAATCGAAAAAAACGTGAAAGTTAATATTATGCGCTTGTCACTTTTTCAAAAATTAAATAAGTGGCGAAAATGGACGAAAAGTTAAGGCTATAGTCTTACTTTTTTGTCATATTTGCCACTCTTTGAAAAAGTTCCTGGCGCTGAGGACAAGGTTCCAGGCGCTGAGGACAAGGTTCCTGATGCTGAGGATACACAGGTATTTTTCTATTTCTTTTTAAAAAACACGTCTTGGGCTACTGTGCCTTATCTTGGGCTACCTGTGTCCAACGCACAGCAACCCAAAACATCGATTTTTTTATTTCTTTCGACGGTGAGGACAAGGTTCCTGGTGTGGTTCCCGTGTGATTGAGGACGTGGTTCCCCTTGTGATTATTTTTCTACTTCTTTTGAAAAAAAACTTCTTGGGCTACCTGTGCCTTGTCTTGGGCTACCTGTGTCCAACGCATAGGAACCCAAGACATCGATTTTTTTATTTCTTTCGACGGTCAGGACAAGGTTCCTGGTGTGGGGTTTCCCGTGTGATTGAGGACGTGGTTCCCCTTGTGATTGATTATTTTTCTACTTCTTTTGAAAAAACACGTCTTGGGCTACCTGTGCCTTGTCTAGGGCTACCTTTGTCCAACGCACAGGCAACCCAAGACATCGATTTTTTTATTTCTTTCGACGGTGAGGACAAAGTTCCTGGTGTGGTTCCCGTGTGATTGAGGACGTGGTTCCCCTTGTAATTATTTTTCTACTTCTTTTGAAAAAAAACGTCTTGGGCTACTGTGCCTTGTCTTGGGCTACCTGTGTCCAACGCACAGGCAACCCAAGACATCGATTTTTTTATTTCTTTCGACGGAGAGGACAAAGTTCCTGGTGTGGGGTTTCCCGTGTGATTGAGGACGTGGTTCCCCTTGTGATTGATTATTTTTCTATTTGTTTTGAAAAAAAACGTCTTGGGCTACCTGTGCCTTGTCTTGGGCTACCTGTGTCCAACGCACAGCAACCCAAGACATCGATTTTTTTATTTCTTTCGACGGTGAGGACAAGGTTCCTGGTGTGGTTCCCGTGTGATTGAGGACGTGGTTCCCCTTGTGATTGATTATTTTTCTACTTCTTTTGAAAAAAAAACGTCTTGGGCTACTGTGTCTTGTCTTGGGCTGCTGTGTCCAACGCACAGCAACCCAAGACATCGATTTTTTTTATTTATTTCGAAAAATAAACAGATCCTATTTTCTAATTTGTATCTCTTGATACAACCAGGAACCGAACCTGGCACCACGCACTTGCAACACTTCGTCCTTACCACTAGACCGTCTCGCCTGCACTTGCTTTATGATCTTTTTTATTCCACTTAACCCATTCTTCTCTCAGGTGGAATTAATTAACGACGCCCGTCACTAAAATGCTCTTGACACAACCAGGAATCGAACCTGGCAGCACGCACTTGCAACACTTCGTCCTTACCACTATACCGTCTCGCCTGCACTTGTTTTATGTTTTTTTTATTCCACTTAACTCATTCTTCTCTCAGGTGGAATTAATTAACAACGACGCCCGTCGTTAAAATGCTCTTGATACAACTCGGAATCGAACCTGGCATCACGCACTTGCAACACTTCGTCCTTACCACTAGACCGTCTCGCCTGCACTTGTTTTATGTTCTTTTTTATTCCATTTAACTCATTCTTCTCTCAGGTGGAATTAATTAACAACGACGCCCGTCGTTAAAATGCTCTTGATACAACCCGGAATCGAACCTGGCATCACGCACTTGCAACACTTCGTCCTTACCACTAGACCGTCTCGCCTGCACTTGTTTTATGTTCTTTTTTATTCCACTTAACTCATTCTTCTCTCAGGTGGAATTAATTAACAACGACGCCCGTCGCTAAAATGCTCTTGATACAATCTCAGGTGGAATTAATTAACAACGACGCCCGTCGTTAAAATGCTCTAGATACAACCCGGAATCGAACCTGGCATCACGCACTTGCAACACTTCGTCCTTACCACTAGACCGTCTCGCCTGCACTTGTTTTATGTTCTTTTTTATTCCACTTAACTCATTCTTCTCTCAGGTGGAATTAATTAACAACGACGCCCGTCGCTAAAATGCTCTTGATACAAGCCGGAATCGAACCTGGCATCACGCACTTGCAACACTTCGTCCTTACCACTAGACCGTCTCGGCTGCACTTGTTTTATATTCTTTTTTATTCCACTTAACTCATTCTTCTCCCAGGTGGAATTAATTAACAACAACGCCCGTCGCTAAAATGCTCCTGATACAACGCAGTTGAAACACAAAAATGAAATAAGTCGCTAAAAATGGATGAAAAGTTAAGGCTATAGCCTTACCATTTTTGCTGTTTTTTGCCCATTGATGAAAAATGGCAAAAGTCGCTAAAAATGCACGAAAACTTAAGGCTATAGCCTTACTTTTTTGCTGCTTTTTGCCCACTTAAGAAAAATGGCAAAAGTCGCTAAAAATGGACGAAAAGTTAAGGCTATAACCTTACTTTTTTGCTGTTTTTTTGCCCACTTATGAAAAATGGCAAAAGTCGCTAAAAATAGACGAAAAGTTAAGGCTATAGCCTTACTTTTTTGCTGTTTTTTGCCCACTTATGAAAAACGGCAAAAGTCGCTAAAAATGGACAAAAAGTTAAGGCTATAGCCTTACTTTTTTGCTGTTTTTTGGCCACTTATGAAAAATGGCATAAGTCGCCAAAAATGGACGAAACGTTAAGGCTATAGCCTTACTTTTTTGCTGTTTTTTTGGCCACTTATGAAAAATGGCAAAAGCCCTAAAAATGGATGAAAAGTTTGCTGTTTTTTGCCCATTGATGAAAAATGGCAAAAGTCGCTAAAAATGGACGAAAAGTTAAGGCTATAGCCTTACTTTTTTGCTGTTTTTTCGCCACTTATGAAAAATGGCATAAGTCGCCAAAAATGGACGAAAAGTTAAGGCTATAGCCTTACTTTTTTGCTGTTTTTTGGCCACTTATCAAAAATGGCAAAAGTCGCTAAAAATGGACGAAAAATTAAGGCTATAGACGTACTTTTTTGCTTCTTTTGGCCACTTATGAGTTATGAAAAATGGCAAAAGTCGCTAAAAATGGATGAAAAGTTAAGGCTATAGCCTTACTTTTTTGCTGTTTTTGGCCGACTTATGAAAAATGGCATAAGTCGCTAAAAATGCACGAAAACTTAAGGCTATAGCCTTACTTTTTTGCTGTTTTTTGCCACTTATGAAAAATGGCAAAAGTCGCTAAAAATGGACAAAAAGTTAAGGCTATAGCCTTACTTTTTTGCTGTTTTTTGGCCACTTATGAAAAATGGCAAAAGTCGCTAAAAATGGACAAATGGCAAAAGTCGCTAAAAATGGATGAAAAGTTAAGGCTATAGCCTTACTTTTTTTGCTGTTTTTTTGCCCACTATGAAAAATGGCAAAAGTCGCTAAAAATGGACGAAAAGTTAAGGCTATAGCCTTACTTTTTGCTGTTTTTTGCCCACTTATGCAAAATGGCAAAAGTCGCTAAAAATGGACGAAAAGTTAAGGCTATAGCGTTACTTTTTTGCTGCTTTTTGCCGACTTATGGAAAATGGCATAAGTCGCTAAAAAGGGACGAAAAGTTAAGGCTATAGCCTTACTTTTTTGCTGTTTTTTGACCACTTATGAAAAGTGGAAAAAGTCGCTAAAAATGGCCCTCAACGGCAGGAACCTTGTCCTCACCGCCACGAACCTTGTCCTCACCGCCAGGAACCTTGTCTTCACCTCCAGGAACCTTGTCCTCACCGCCAGGAACCTTTTCCTCACCGCCAGGAACCCTGTCCTCACCAACGCTGAGGACAAGGTTGCTGACGCTGAGGACAAGGTTGCTGACGCTGAGGACAAGGTTGCTGCCGTCAAGGTTCCTGGCGGTGAGGACAGGGTTCCTGGCGGTGAGGTTTTTTGCCGACTTATGAAAAATGGCATAAGTCGCTTTTTTTCCCATTTATGAAAAATGGCAAAAGTCCCTAAAAATGGACGAAAAGTTAAGGCTATAGCCTTACTTTTTTGCTGTTTTTTGACCACTTATGAAAAATGGAAAAAGTCGCTAAAAATGGACGAAAAGTTAAGGCCAAAGCTTTAATTTTTTCCTGTTTTTTGCCCATTTACAAAAAATGGAAAAAGTCGCTAAAAATGGACGAATAGTTAGAGGGTGGGAAAGGGTATTTTCGTGAGCCGTGAATGGTGAATATTTGTTCGTGTGAAATGCTCGATTTTAGTGTCGCGAAATGTCATTTGATCTACAGCCGTGAGGCGTAATTGTTGATAAAAATGCTCCGTGAAATGAGAATTAAGGATGTCTGTTTCGTGAACTGTGATTATTATAGTGATTATTATAATAAACATGATATGCGATAATCAAACTTATATGATATCACTCGATTGCACAAGAGTAAAAACTTCGGAGGCCTTTCGCGAGGTTCCTGACTAGAACCTGAGGTTCCTGGCGGTGAGGACAAGGTTCCTGGCGGTGAGGACAAGGTTCCTGGCGGTGAGGACAAGGTTCCTGACGGTGAGGACAAGGTTCCTGGTGGTGAGGACAGGGTTCCTGGCGGTGAGGAAAAGGTTCCTGGCGGTGAGGACAAGGTTCCTGGAGGTGAAGACAAGGTTCCTGGCGGTGAGGACAAGGTTCGTGGCGGTGAGGACAAGGTTCCTGCCGTTGAGGGCAAGGTTCCTGATGGTGAGGAGAAGGTTCCTGGCGGCGAGGACAAGGTTCCTGGCGGCGAGGACAAGGTTCCTGGCGGTGAGGACAAGGTTCCTGGGCTAAGGACAAGGTTCCTGGCGCTAAGGACAAGGTTCCTGGCGGTGAGGACAAGGTTCCTGGGCTAAGGACAAGGTTCCTGGCGCTAAGGACAAGGTTCCTGGGGGTGAGGACAAGGTTCCTG